GGACAACCATATCTGCAGGTCTCCACCAAATCAGGCCTTTATGGTAGAGTGACCAGATGGAAGCCACTCCTCGGTAAAAGGCACATGACAGACCGCTTAGTTTGCCAAAAGGCACCTAAAGGGCTCTCAGACCATGAGAAACAAGATTCTCTGGTCTGATGAAACCAAGATTGAACTCTTTGGCCTGAATGCCAAGCGTCACGTCTGGAGGAAACCTGGCACCATCCCTACGATGAAGCATGGTTGTGGCAGAATCATGCTGTGAGGATCTTTTTCAGCGGCAGGGACTGGGAGACTAGTCAGGATCGAGGGAAAGATGAACGGAGCAAGGTACAGAGAGATCCTTCATGAAAACCTGTGCCAGAGCGCTCAGACTGGACAACAACCCTAAGCACACAGCCAAGACAACACAGGAGTGGCTTCGGGACAAGTCTCTGAATGTCCTTGAGTGGCCCAGCCAGAGCCCGGACTTGAGCCCGATCTCTGGAGAGACCTGAAAATAGCTGTGCAGCGACGCTCCCCATCCAACCTGACAAAGCTTGAGAGGATCTGCAGAGAAGAATGGGGGAAACTCCCCAAATATAGGAGTGCCAAGCTTGTAGCAACATACTCAAGAAGACTCGAGGCTGTAAGCGCTGCCAAAAGGTGCTTCAACAAAATACTGAGTAAAGGGTCTGAATACTTATGTAAATGTGATATTTAAGTGTTTTCAGTTTTTATAAATTAGCAAACATTTCTAAAAACCTGTTTTTGCTTTGTCATTATGGGGTATAGTGTGTAGATTGATGAGGGGGGGAGAAACAATTTAATCAATTTTAGATTAAGGCTGTAACGTAACAAAATTTGGAAACAGTTAAGGGGTCTGAATACTTTCCGAAGGCACTGTAGATCAACATTTTCTGCACGCACTCAATGATACAGTAGCAAAAGCACATAGCAGCAGCTGGATCATATAACATAAAGGATTGAAAAATATTCATTCAAAGTTTAATTTGATTAGGAGCATTAAAAAGCTTCCATGACAAGCAGGAAGATCAGAGTTAAATAGTTTGTTTAGTTTTTCCATTGTAGGGGCATCACATAGGAAATAACGCTAGGAATCAGGTGCACAGTAGACTTAACCAACCAGGGTTGTATTTCTTTAACCTTGCTTGACACATTAGGCTCTGTCGGCTCTGTCGTAGCCGGCCGCGACCGGGAGACCCATGGGGCGGCGCGCAATTGGCCCAGCGTCGTCCAGGGTAGGGGAGGGAATGGCCGGCAGGGATGTAGCTCAGTTGGTAGAGCACGGCGTTTGCAACGCCAGGGTTGTGGGTTCGATTCCCACGGGGGGCCAGTATGAAAAATAAAATAAAATAATGTATGCACTCACTAACTGTAATTCGCTCTGGATAAGAGCTTCTGCTAAATGACTAAAATGTAAATGTAAATGTATTAATACGACACACACACCACAGCTACAGTGAGGGGAAAAAAGTATTTGATCCCCTGCTGATTTTGTACGTTTGCCCACTGACAAATAAATTATCAATCCATAATTTTAATGGTAGGTTTATTTGAACAGTGAGAGACAGAATAACAACAAAAAAATCCAGAAAAAACGCATGTCAAAAATGTTATAAATTGATTTGCATTTTAATGCGGGAAATAAGTATTTGACCCCCTCTCAATCAGAAAGATTTCAAATGGAAGAAACACAAAATAACTGTCAATCTCCCTCGGCCTGGGGCTCCATGCAAGATCTCACCTCGTGGAGTTGCAATGATCATGAGAACGGTGAGGAATCAGCCCAGAATTACACGGGAGGATCTTGTCAATGATCTCAAGGCAGCTGGGACCATAGTCACCAAGAAAACAATTGGTAACACACTACGCCGTGAAGGACTGAAATCCTGCAGCGCCCGCAAGGTCACCCTGCTCAAGAAAGCACATATACAGGGCCGTCTGAAGTTTGCCAATGAACATCTGAATGATTGAGAAGAGAACTGGGTGAAAGTGTTGTGGTCAGATGAGACCAAAATGGAGCTCTTTGGCATCAACTCAACGTGTTTGGAGGAGGAGGAATGCTGCCTATGACCCCAAGAACACCATCCCCACCGTCAAACATGGAGGTGGAAACATTATGCTTTGGGGGTGTTTTTCTGCCTAGGGGACAGGACAACTTCACCGCATCAACGCGACGATGGACGGGGCCATGTACCGTCAAATTTTGGGTGAGAACCACCTTCCCTCAGCCAGGGCATTGAAAATGGGTCGTGGATGGGTAATCCAGCATTGCAATGACCCAAAACACACGGCCAAGGCAACAAAGGAGTGGCTCAAGAAGAAGCACATTAAGGTCCTGGAGTGGCCTAGCCAGTCTCCAGACCTTAATCCCATAGAAAATCTGTGGAGGGAGCTGAAGGTTCGAGTTGCCAAACGTCAGCCTCGAAAACTTAATGACTTGGAGAAGATCTGCAAAGAGGAGTGGAACAAAATCCCTCCTGAGATGTGTGCAAACCTGGTGGCCAACTACAAGAAACGTCTGACCTCTGTGATTGCCAACAACGGTTTTGCCACCAAGTACTAAGTCATGTTTTGCAGAGGGGTCAAATACTTATTTCCCTCATTAAAATGCAAATCAATTTATAACATTTTTGACATGCGTTTTTCTGGATTTTTTTGTTGTTATTCTGTCTCTCACTGTTCAAATAAACCTACCATTAAAATTATAGACTGATCATGTCTTTGTCAGTGGGCAAACGTACAAAATCAGCAGGGGATCAAATACTTTTTTCCCTCACTGTACATGGGTTAGTGTTACTAAATAGCTGAGGTAGAAAGGACTAGTGAGGAGGAATAACTATTGATTGTTTTCAAGCAGTGAAGCACACTTCTCTCCCCAAAATAACTTGAGGTCAAACATTTGTAGCTACATAAAATGAACTAAGTTAATTGTTTTCTGACATGCAACACATTCTATGGCAGCTTCATGTCACCACACTTGCTTCCTTCATTCTTGCCCAGCAGCATTTCATGTGAACTCTCATCTTTTCCCCAGATGGCAGTGGAATAAAGAGGGCACATTTTAACAGCAGCCACTCAATAAACACTAACGACCTTAAAGTATTAAGAACAGTTGCTTCTAATGTTAAATATCAAACGTTGCCTCCATACCCCCAACTGGCATTCCACAGGCTTTCATAAACAACCAAAACCAACTGGGGAAACAAACACCATGTGCCACTTAAACTCAATTTGAAACAGCCTCATCTAGTTCGACGTCGGTCTTCCCGTCAACAAGTGTTAACGGTTCGCACTTTGCAGCCAAAGACTAAAACCTCTGTTGAGATCTATCTACGTTTACGCTCTTTAAAATCTGACATGTACGTCTAAGCGTGGGTCAGTATGTCCTTGTGCATTCAATGTGAGTGTGTGTTCAAGCCATGGGTATGGCAAGGACACAGTGTGATAGGGAGACTGTTCACTGTGTTTTGTGTAAGATAGACTGGGCAGAATAATTGCAGGCTGAGAGAATATAAACCAGCTTAAATGTGTAGGATTAGGGGGATTACGCTATATACACACAGGAACAAAAATAAGCACACATGCTCCACTTTTTTTTATTTATTGTACTGACAGAAAATGATAGCATTTAACAAGAGAATGTAAAAGGGGGCCGGGACTGGGAAGGAACGTGTAAAATAAGTAGGGAGGGAGGGGAGACAGAGGTGCATTCTGGGATGTGAAGTTTCTTCCTGTAGAAGCCTGGTAACGCCACCTGTGGAACAAAAAGGACAGAGCGGTTAGGATACCACCTGAACAGGCTCTGTGTTTGATCACAAAACACCCCTAATTCATTGCTTCTTTTTACAATAAAGTTTTGTTAATTTGGCATATCTATATTCAAATGTTTATTAAATGGCAATTAACTTTTAATTTTTATAACTTAAAGACTGTCATTAAAGTAACTGTCCAGTAAAAATCTTACTTTTAAAAGTCATATTCTGTTAACTCGTACCCAAATAATGTTGTTGACCAAAGCATAAATTGCATAAAAAATAAACACTTTAAAAAACCCACCTCAAACTTGTATATCAGATCGTTTAAAAAATGCTTGCCATTTCCTCATAGAGGACGATGTCCTCCTCCTGAGGAGGATGAGCCGGCCAATCAGCAGTTTACTGACATGAATATTTTTAATTGCAGGTATACGCCCACACCGTTCTGTTGTTTGGGTACGCCCACGCCATTCTGTTGTTTGGGTACGCCCACACCATTCAACACAGAAAAGCTGCTTTTTAACATACTCAATTACAATTTTTTGGTAGGAAAACTATTTCACCTAGAACTCTGGAAACATTGGACAGTTACTTTAAGAGATGTATTTTTATATTGACCACACTGGTGTGTTTTTTGAAATCATCTTATTCGCAGAGCATTTCTAATCCAAAAGGGCATGACACTATCTAATGGTATCTTGTTTAACATACATCATGTATGTACAACCCTTCATGGGAGGGAATGAGGAACAAAAACGACAAAGCAATCTAGCTGGGCTCTCTACGCTGTACAGATGAAGGGTTTGGCGATGGCAGCATTGTTTACATTCCCAAGGCACTGATGGACATGAACCAGGTTAGGCATGGGAACAGGACTCCCGAAGACCTGCACTGTACCGTCACCTCTCTCTCTGAACCATCAACGTCGCATAGATACTCTGAGGCTGTTGCATGTATAATTACAAGGTGACGCTGAATATTCAGGCAGTTTGATTTTGAAAAGTTTTGAGTTCTCTGAATGGTCACTGGCTGGGGATACAACGGGGTTGTGGTTAAATTCTTCTTCTTTTTTACCACTATGACCCATCTACACCATTTGCTCAACAAAACCTGTTTCTAAGCTAAACTCACACTTTCAGAGTGAACCCCATTACAAATGAGCTGCAAACCATCAATGGATCCAGATCCATCATTTTGTAAACACTGGTGCAGGACACATACCTTTTGCGTGGAGGGCGTTCACTCATCGACGTACTCGAAGGGCTCAGGGGCCTCAGGCTCCTGTTCCTCCTCCTCAATCTTGGGGCCATGGGCGGAGACGGGCTCCACCAGCTCCTCCTCTTCCTCGCTGGTGTCCTTCATGATAATAATGCCGCCGGTGTGGAGCTGGAGACAGATAGGGGACACGGACCAATGACATGAGCGACTGTAAGCTGTTCGACCAATGACATGAGCGACTGTAAGCTGTTCGACCAATGACATGAGCGACTGTAAGCTGTTCGACCAATGACATGAGCGACTGTAAGCTGTTCGACCAATGACATGAGCGACTGTAAGCTGTTCGACCAACGACATGAGCGACTGTAAGCTGTTCGACCAACGACATGAGCGACTGTAAGCTGTTCGACCAATGACATGAAGCGACTGTAAGCTGTTCGACCAATGACATGAGCGACTGTAAGCTGTTCGACCAATGACATGAGGCGACTGTAAGCTGTTCGACCAATGACATGAGCGACTGTAAGCTGTTCGACCAATGACGGGTGTCTTATTTTAATCTCTTTTTATCTTGTCTGCCACCCCAACGGAGCGGTACCACCCATCAAACATCACCCGCCCCACAATAACCTCAATTCGACTTCAGAAAACACGATGCACCCCACGCTGTTTAATTCTCACTTACTCTCCACTGTCAACACTGACTAGCATGCTTATGCAACAGTTGGACACATTTAACAAGGCTTTACAGAAGGCTTATGTCCATGTAAACCTCTGAAGCCGAGAAGTGAGAGTCTGCAACAGGTCTTTATAATGCTGAAGCCGAGAAGTGAGAGTCTGCAACAGGTCTTTATAATGCTGAAGCCGAGAAGTGAGAGTCTGCAACAGGTCTTTATAATGCTGAAGCCGAGACGTGAGGGACTGCAACAGGTCTTTATAATGCTGAAGCCCGAGAAGTGAGGGACTGCAACAGGTCTTTATAATGCTGAAGCAGAGAAGTGAGAGTCTGCAACAGGTCTTTATAATGCTGAAGCCGAGACGTGAGGGACTGCAACAGGTCTTTATAATGCTGAAGCCGAGACGTGAGGGACTGCAACAGGTCTTTATAATGCTGAAGCCGAGAAGTGAGAGTCTGCAACAGGTCTTTATAATGCTGAAGCCGAGAAGTGAGGAACTGCAACAGGTCTTTATAATGCTGAAGCCCGAGAAGTGAGGAACTGCAACAGGTCTTTATAATGCTGAAGCCCGAGAAGTGAGAGTCTGCAACAGGTCTTTATAATGCTGAAGCCGAGAAGTGAGGGACTGCAACAGGTCTTTATAATGCTGAAGCCGAGAAGTGAGGGACTGCAACAGGTCTTTATAATGCTGAAGCGGAGAGGAACTTTCAAAACACTACACAGACGTGGTGAGGGATTACACAGTGAAGAGATTTATCATGACGGCAAGAAAGCACAGGTATTAGTTTTTTCAGTCTCTCTGTCTGCCTGTGAGGATTTTGAGGGGATGGTTGCCTCATACTCTTATCACATTGCCCTTGCAGTGGTTGTACAGTACTGTACATCAAGCAGCTTGGTTATCACTGTACATCCCTTTTATAGATAAGGTTGTTATAGATATGGTTGTTCCAGATATGGTCTGTTTCAGGTCCAGACTAAAGCATCAGGTATGGTGAGCACTGCCCAGACTAGATAGATTCTTACTTCTACATTATCTCTGGGCAGCTAAGTAACACTAATCTACACACAGACCACACTACAAGATCTTTGTCACAGTTGCTGTGTGCTCTGATTGGCTGAAATCGAATCGCCACAATTTGGTGGGAAGGTCAGTGGGAGGCATACCCTGGCCCCACAACAATGGTTCGCTTTATGTTAAGACACCACCTTTCTAAAAAAATAATAATAATAAAATAATAAATAATTTAAAGGACAGCAAAGAGCAAAAAGACTCCAGTGTCATATGATATGACCCATGATGCATTGCTCTCAGCTCGACGTGTGTTGATTTGACATGTAACCAAACGATACTGCTCTTTATAGGAGTGGGGATTAGGATAAGTGTGTGGGTGACTACATATCTCATGTTATTTACTGAGGAAAGCTGTCAACATTTTGCGCAGGACCAGAGTACAGTGGTTTATTGTCCGGCAACTTTAAGACTCAGCGGGTGACGATAGGGGCTGTGTGGATATAAAATATCTGGGCCAAAACCAACCAACTAGGGCTTATAACCTTGGTTGGAAAGATTCATAAAAGATGGCTGATAAAAGACAGCTTCATCGCTGGAGACAGAAACTAGGGGTGTGACATTTAAACTAATTTGGGATCATTAACTTAAAAAAAAAAAAAACGCTAACCGAAATGTTTTATTTTTGTACAAATTTAAATCACAGTGCAGTTATCACAAAACTAAAACTACCACCAACAGGTCCGGATCATCATCATCATAAAGGCAAAAATAAATAAAACAAATATGTAACACAACAATGCTGTAAGTAGGACGAGATAAAAATCTTTAAACTTATTTGCCAAGGATACAGTACAATCGAAAGTATTCAGACCCCTTGACTTTTTCCACATTTTGTTACATTACAGCCTTATTCTAAAAATGATTAAATAAATAAAAATCCTCATCAATCTACACACGATACGCCATAATGACAAAGCAGAAACATCTTATTTACATAAGTATTCAGACCCTTTGCTATGAGACTCAAAATTGAGGTCAGGTGCATCTTGTTTCCATTGATCATCTTTGAGATGTTTCTACAACTTGATTGCAGTCCACCTGTGGTAAATTCAATTGATTGGACATGATTTGGAAAGGCACACACCTGTCTATATAAGGTCCAACAGTTGACAGTGCATGTCAGAGCAAAAATCAAGCCATGAGGTCGAAGGAATTGTCCGTAGAGCTCTGAGACAGGATTGTGTAGAGGCACAGATCTGGGGAAGGGTACCAAAACATTTCTGCAGCATTGAAGGTCCCCAAGAACACAGTGGCCTCCATCATTCTTAAAATGGAAGCAGTTTGGAACCACCAAGACTCTTCCTAGAGCTGGCCGCCCGGACAAACTGAGCAATCGGGGGAGAACAGCCTTGGTCAGGGAGGAGACCAAGAACCCGATGGTCACTCTGACAGAGCTCCAGAGTTCCTCTGTGGATATGGGAGAACCTTCCAGAAGGACAACCATGTCTGCAGCACACCACCAATCAGGCCTTTATGGTAGAGTGGCCAGACGGAAGCCACTCCTCAGTAAAGGGCACATGACAGCCCACTTGGAGTTTGCCAAAAAGTACCTAAAGGACAAACAAGATTCTCTGGTCTGATGAAACCAAAATTGAACTCTTTGGCCTGAATGCCAAGAGTTAACTCTGGAGGAAACCTGGCACCATCCCTATGAGGAAGCATGGTGGTGGCAGCGTCATGCTGTGGAGATGTTTTTCAGCGGCAAGGACTGTGAGACCAGTCAGGATCGAGGGAAAGAGATCCTTGATGAAAACCTGCTCCAGAGCGCTCAGGAACTCAGACTGGGGCGAAGGTTCACCTTCCAACAGGGCAACGACCTTAAGCACACAGCCAAGACAACGCAGGAGTGGCTTCGGGACAAGTCTCTGAATGTCCTTGAGTGGCTCAGCCAGAGCCCAGACTTGAACCCGATCGAACATCTCTGGAGACCTGAAAATAGCTGTGCAGGGACAATCCCCATCCAACCTGACAGAGCTTGAGAGGATCTGCAGAGAAGAATGGGAGAAACTCCCCAAATACAGGTGTGCCATGCTTGTAGCGTCATACCCAAGAAGACTCGAGGCTGTAATCGCTGGCAAAGGTGCTTCAACAAAGTACTGAGTAAAAGGTCTTAATACTTATGTAAATGTGATATTGTAGTTTTATATTTTTTTTATAAATTTGCAAACATTTCTAAAAACCTGTTTTTGCTTTGTCCTTATGGGGTATTGTGTATAGATTGATAAGGGGAGAACACATTTAATCCATTTTAGAATAAGGCTGTAACGTAACAAAATGTGGAAACAGTCAAGGGGTCTGAATACTTTCCAAACGCACTGTATAAAGCGCTCTGCACGTCATCATCGTTAACAGTTGGGGAAATGGCAGAGAGTGAGACGGGGAAATGGCAGAGAGTGAGACAGGGAAGCGACGGCAGGGAAGTCTTGTCTGGCAGTCCTTTGAGAAGTTAAATCAGAAGGTGATGAAATGCAAACTTTGCGAGGTGGAATTGAGCTACAGTGGCAGTACAGGTGCAATGCTTAAAGGGAGGAACCGTGAGACCCAACCCGTTGCTGGCAGCAGTGCGATAAAGGACGGAGTGAGAAAATCACAGCGCTGATTGCAGTTGATATGCGGCCATTGTCAAATGGTAGAGGATGTCGGCTTCACGGCCCTGATGGCATATCTAGAACCAGACTAAAAGATGACATGTCGAAAAACAGTGACGGCCCTGATGGAGAAATTGTACAATGAAGTACAAAGCGCGAGCTCTCAAACAACAACAGATTGTTGAACGTCTATGAACACACCGTCGTACATCATTGCAACGAGCCATTACACTGATGAACAGTGGGACTGACAACCGAGAACATGGAGAGGAACACGACAGAGAAGCTAACACGGCATTAGTACCATCGTTGCTGAGTAGGTGGGGGACAGCAGTAAGGTAGCTAGCCAGGATGCGGTAGATTGAACTGCACTGCCCCCTAGCGGTCATACGCAGGACCATATCTGAATTGTGAATTCACGTCATTTAATGATTTTTATAACCCCAGTTTATAAAAAATTAAAAAAACGTTAATGTGTCACATTCCTACCAGATACACACTTAAAGTCACACACGTTCACAGACTCACACACCAACCGTACGTACCGGTTTGAAGGGCTGGTAGCGGCACGTCTCGGGCATGTTGAGCACTTTGAGCTGGGCGGGCATCACTCTGGCAGGGTTCTCCATCAGCTGGAAGCTGGGCTCAGGCTCCTTCTTCTTCTCCTTCTCCTTCTCTTTCTCCTTCTCTTTCTCTTTCTCCTTCTCCTTCTCCTCATCTTTCTTCTCCTTCTCAGCCTCCTGTACCTCCTGAGAGTCCAACAAACAATTTTGAGCGTTTCACCCCCCTTTTCCTGAGGAAAACCCACGACTCAGTGAGTCCGTAATAATAATAATAATAATAATAATATGCCATTTAGCAGACGCTTTTATCCAAAGCGACTTACAGTCATGCGTGCATAAATGTTTTGTGTATGGGTGGTCCCGGGGATCGAACCCACTACCTTGGCGTTACAAGCGCCGTGCTCTACCAGCTGAGCTACAGAGGACCATGCATTGGGATGATGCATTGGGATGATAAAATAGATGGTCGACGGCAGTAAGCGTCACCCCCGGAATAAAGTGTGCCTTCATTTCACACGTTTCCTGACACAACCAAAAGCTTAATCTCTGGAAGATGTGTTTATCTTGAGATGGGTGATACACTCCTTATCGGTTGTCTTGCACTTGGTGGCCATGCATGTGTTAGGCTCTCCCTGCCTCCTATCTGTCCCCTGCCCAGGCCTCTACCATGCATGTGTGGAACCGGCTGTTACCACAATGCCCTGCACCATCTGACGCTAGGCTGAAAACTGGACCATAGCGGTGCAATGACTCGTATCAGCACTCCTGTTTGTCTACGTGTGTATTTTCACTAAAACAAACACACTCCCACACAGTGTTTGTGTGAGAGAATGAAACAAATCTCCACTGTCCAATGCCTTTGGTTAAACTAACACACTGATATAACCGAGGGCTAAAATACTCCCCCTTCTCGTTAACCTCGATGACGCCAAGCCCAATCAATCAAACTCAGCCGATCCAACTTCGCCTGAGATCGCAGAGCCATCCCTCAACGAGGACGTGAAATCTAGCACGGTGGACACCATCAAACATAGCGATAACGCCCAGCAGTCGACGTCCCACTGAAAGGAATAATGGCGCTGGGCTGACAGGGGCTGTCGGTGATGTTGTGTATTCCAGCTGTGTGCTTCATGGGTAACTTGGTCACATCAGTGGAGAGGGGCTGTGGGACCTTGCCAGGGCTGACAGATAGCTGCTCCTTAAAGGGATAGTTCACTTACATTTCCTGAGAACTGCTCCTTAAAGGGATAGTTCACTTACATTTCCTGAGAACTGCTCCTTAAAGGGATAGTTCACTCACATTTCCTGAGAACTGCTCCTTAAAGGGATAGTTCACTTACATTTCCTGAGAACTGCTCCTTAAAGGGATAGTTCACTCACATTTCCTGAGAACTGCTCCTTAAAGGGATAGTTCACTCACATTTCCTGAGAACTGCTCCTTAAAGGGATAGTTCACTCACATTTCTTGAGAACTGCTCCTTAAAGGGATAGTTCACTCACATTTCCTGAGAACTGCTCCTTAAAGGGATAGTTCACTTACATTTCCTGAGAACTGCTCCTTAAAGGGATAGTTCACTTACATTTCCTGAGAACTGCTACATTAACCCATAAGAGTCTAAGCCCTGTTTTTCGGGATGTGTCTCATGGTCTGACAAACACTGCTGTAGCTCGGCCACCATCCACCTCAGATGCGGAAGGCTGCCATTGGCGGATGCGGTGGACTGAAGGTGATGCACATGCAAAAAACAGATGTCTCTAGCTTAAACTGACAGATTTTGATGGGGATGTTTGTGTGATGCTAATTAGATTTCAGCGGGGGAATAGTTCACTCATTTCCTGAGAACTGCTACTTTAAAAAGGGACAGAACTATCAGTGACGGAAGCTGCAGACTGCAGAGGCCGGGACGTATCGGAGACTGTTGTTAAGGTCTGTGAACCATTAGCACCTCACAACCAATTACACTGATCATTCCTCAATAGGCTTTTCAATATGAGCAGAGCTCTGTTTGGGACAGGGGCTACAAGATTCTTGCTTGAGGAAGGTTAAAAACATCTACATAGAAAGCAAAAAAAAAAAAAAAAAAAAAAAAAAAAAAAAAAAACATTTGAAAGTGTTCTCTATGGGGCTGGCAGACCTCTAATAAAGAATGTGTTCACATCACTCACCACTTCCATCTTTTCTTCCTCTTTCTCTTTCTTCTCCTTCTCCTTCTTCTTAGCTTTGGCTGTGATGGAGAGAACAGCAGTAGACACCTGTAATGGAGGAAGAGAGAGAGACTAAATGAAGGGAGTACTGCAAAAAAATCGCCCGGTTTTTTTATGACAATATTAAAACGTTCCCTTGTTCTAAAATGAGCCAAGACTCGGGCTGAGTAGCCAAAATAACATGGTCTCAGACTGACAACGTGGAAATGAAATGATGAGAGTTCAAAAAGGGACTCTTAATAACAAAACCCTCCAAGAAATTGATCTTGGCTGAGGTCACTTCATTCAGGATGACCGTGAGTAGCAGCGAATGTGACTTCAGTCGATCAAAACAGGGTGACGTCATGTCACTACTGGGGGACTCTCACCTTCTCCTTCTCTTTCTCCTTGGGCACCTCCAGGGCCGGAGGGTAGGCGAAGGTGGAGGGCTTGCAGTTGGAGCGGTACTGCACCTTGGGCATCTGGACGGGAAAGACAACAGTGTGGTGGTCAAACATCAATAATAAGCAACAGTAGCAAAGTCCGGGCCCAGCACCCTATGAAAAGTGATGTTCCGTTTAACTTATTCATACGCCCTAAGGAAATCAATGGTGTTAACCTCCACGGGATCGGTGTCCCGTATACGGGACGGTTGAGCTAACGTGCGCTAATGTGATTAGCATGACTGTTGTAAGTAACAGGAAACTTTCCAGGTCATAGACATGTCTTAAATGGGCAGAAAGCTTAAATTCTTGTTAATCTAACTGCACTGTCCAATTTACAGTAGCTATTACAGTGAAAAAATACCATGCTATTGTTTGAGGAGAGTGCACAACAACATAACTTATCATGGCAACTGGTTTGATACATTCACCTATGAAGGTAAATAATGTACTTGCATTCAGTAATCTTGCTCTGATTTGTCATCCTAAGGGTCCCAGAGATAAAACGCAGCATAGTTTTGTATGATAAAATCAATTTTTATAGTCAAATGTAGGAACTGGGTTCTACAGTTTGAACCCCTGCTGTCTCTGGCTCCACACTTACCCCGCCCGGCCATCTAGATGTGTGAAAGTTAGTGTATAAGCTAATGATCCATCATGTATGACATTCCTGGGAGTGTGTAAACTTACATTTTGTATTACCATATCATTTTTGTATGTTCTCTATAGTTATGTACTTGAAAAGGTATCAATTGACCAATTCGGCACATTTGGGCAGACTTGATACAAAATAGTCCAGTATTGTAATTCTTCACTGGATCAATCTGAAACTTTGCATACACACTGCTGCCATCTAGTGGCCAACATTTAAATTGCGCCTAAACTGCAATATTATATTGTGGCCTTTCTCTTGCATTTCAAAGATGGAAAAAATAAAATAATAGAAAACACTTTTTTTTTTTTTGTATTATCTTTTACCAGATCTAATGTGTTACATTCTCCTACATTAATTTCACATTTCCACAAACTTCAAAGTGTTTCCTTTCAAATGGTATCAAGAATATGCATATCCTTGCTTCAGGTCCTGAGCTACAGGCAGTTAGATTTGGTTATGTCATTTTAGGCGGGAAAAAAAAAGGGTCCGATCCTTAAGAGGTTATATTTCCCACCACTGACCAGAGGCGCTTTCATTTAGTTTAATGTTGCGTCATAACTCACTTTTTAATTTAACAGTCTTTTTAATAAAAAAAATCACTTTATTTCACAAAAATAACTCTAAATATATTTTCTATCATTTATTTCCCTGAGCCTCCTTTTGCCATTGAAATGCTCAGTCTGATCGTGTGGGAGTGTTGATACAAATTTTTATATATTTAGATACACAGCCCTGATTGGCGGATAGGATCGTCTAGACTCTGTTCTAGAGCCTACCCGCTTAGCCCATCAAAGTAGGAGGATTCATATGCAAATCTACTAAGCTAACATACGGAACTGTTTAAAGATTGTCATACCAAGGATAATTTAGCTATTTCATTTGGAATTTTAGGACCCATTTAGGTATCAAAAATATATATAAAAACATTATTTGATGAAACATTGAATTTGGCCTTACAGCTATTAGCACATAGAAATGCATTGAATAACAGACTCATACATGGAAAAACAGATAGTCCAAAAATACATCTAAAGGAAGTTTGTTTTAAAGTGTCTGTCCCATATCTGAGAGATATAAGATCAGGACATATGTAACCCTTTCTTTGGGGCATTAAACTACTTCCATATATACTTCCTTTCATTTTTTAAACTGGCACCGGACTATCTTCAGATGAGCCTTGTGGGCATCCTAGAGCAAAAACAATCGTGTTCGTGAGAGTCATCTTTCCATAGAGTGGTCATATTAGTTTCTAGGCCAAACCGTTCGGACATTTGTGAGAAGACCGATTTTCGGGGTGGGAATGGCAAGGCTGCATTGGGATGGAATGGCATGGATACAGGTGCCTTGCAAAAGTAATGGACATACACAAAATAGTCCTAATTGGTGAAGTGAAATGAAAAAAATAACTTATTTCCAAAAATTCTACAAAATAAATAACGGAAAAGTGGTGCGTATATATGTATTCACCCCCTGTGCTACGAATCCGCTAAATTATATCTGGTGCAACCAATTACCTTGGTCACATGGTCTCAGTACATATACACCTGTTCTGAAAGGCCCCGGAGTCTGCAACACCACTAAGCAAGGGGCACCACCAAGCAAGGGGCACCACCAAGCAAGCGGCACCATGAAGACCAAGGAGCTCTCCAAACAGGTCAGGGACAAAGTTGTGGAGAAGTACAGATCAGGGTTGGGTTATAAAAAAATATCCGAAACGTTTAACATCCCACAGAGCACCATTAAATCGATTATAAAAAAATGGAAAGAATATGGCACCACAACAAACCTGCCAAGAGAGGGCCGCCCACCAAAACTCACGGACCAGGCAAGGAGGGCATTAATCAGAGAGGCAACAAAGACACCAAAGATAACCCTGAAGGAGCTGCAAAGCTCCACAGCGGAGA